GCCCACCCAGTGTCACCGTGCCAGCCCACCCGGTGTCACCGTGCCAACCCTGTCGGTGTCCCCGTGCCAGTCCAGCTAGGGTCCCCGTGCCAGCCCTGCCGGTGTCACCGTGCCAGCCCACCCAGTGTCACCGTGCCAGCCCACCCGGTGTCACCGTGCCAACCCTGTCGGTGTCCCCGTGCCAGTCCAGCTAGGGTCACCGTGACAGCCCTGCCGGTGTCACCGTGCCAGCCCACCCAGTGTCACCGTGCCAGCCCTGCCGGTGTCACCGTGCCAGCCCACCCAGTGTCACTGTGCCAGCCCACCCAGTGTCCCCGTTCCAGCCCTGCCGGGTCCTGCCCGAGCCCGGGAATTCGGCCCCAGAGGCTCCGAGAGTTCCTCGCACCCGGAGAACAAAAAAAAACAGCCAAAAAAACCAGAAACGGCACGAGGAGAGGAACAATTTCCTCCACCGCTAATTGTCCCTCTGTTAATTAACCAGAGTGTGGGGGCGCTGATTAGGATCTCCCCAAAGCCACAGGGCCTGGCTGGGGACAGCGGTGACCACACCGGGCCCAGGGGGCGGGAGGGGGTCCGGGATTTGGGGAGCTCTGTGGGGCTGGGTTTGGGGTTGGGAAACTGAGATTTGGGGCTGGGGAACTGAGATTTGGGATTGGGGAATTGAGATTTGGGATTGGGGAACTGAGATTTGGGACTGGGGAATGGAGATTTGGGGCTGGGGAACTGAGATTTGGGATTGGGGAATTGAGATTTGGGATTGGGAACTGAGATTTGGGATTGGGGAACTGAGATTTGGGACTGGGGAACTGAGATTTGGGATTTGGGGATTGAGATTTGGGAACTGAGATTTGGGATTTGGGGACTGAGATTTGGGATTTGGGAACTCAGATCTGGGATTTGGGATTTGGGGATTGAGAACTGGGATTTGGGGATTGAGATGGATGGGAATGGCCGGGAATGGCCGGGAATGGATGGGAATGGATGGGAATGGCCAGGAATGATGGAATTGCCACCTCTGTGTTTATGGGGCGGCAAAGCCAGTGCCGGTTTTCTCCTCTCCAAACAGGAATTTGGGAGTTCTCCCCACTCCTCCATCCATCATCCATCCATCCATCCATGGATTCCATCCATCATCCATCCAGCAGGGATGGAAATCCAGGGGTGATTTCCTGCTGGGAAATTCCTTCCTTCCATCTCTCCCTGTTTCCACCAGGCCCCTTTGATGCCTTTGCTTTCCAGCCACACGTCCCCGGGAAAATCAACCCCAGATCGGTGTCCCGGAAAATATTTGGAGGTTCTGAGGCAAAATATCGGCTCTGGGAGGGGCTGAGGGGGGCAGGGAAGCAGCGCTGGGTTTGAGGATTTGGGTGGCATCTCTGTGGTTTGATCCCAGATCCGGGATGGGCAGGGGAGGGACCCCGGGGTGCTGTAGGGTTGGGGTGTCGGGGAAATGCGGATTTACGCCCCTGGATGGGGATTTGATGGCAGCAGTCCCATCCCGATTTCCTCTGGGCTCCCATGGAAGGCAGCGTTCACCTTCCCCAGCCCATCCAGGCTCCAGCGCCCGGAGCTGCTTTTTGAGCCTCTTTTGGCAGAAAATTTCACATCTTGGGCTTGTTGGAGCTTTTGAAATAAAGGGTGGGAAAATCAGCGCCAGCTTTGCCTTCCCTTGCGTCCCTCTGCGCGTGTCCAGCCCCCGCTGTGACATCGCTGTCACCTCCCACGTCCGTGTGTCCCCTGGGGCCACCTCTGCCCATCGGGTCACCTCCGGACGAGATTCACGGCAGGGGGAGCGGGCCCTGGTGCTCCGGGGGTGTCTGGCAGCGCTCGGGGGTCGGGACCAGCCCCCGGGAGCGGCACTTTCCCCTTTCTGGATGTCCTCCCCCCGCCCGGGGGATGCTCCCCACCATCCCCTCACCCCCCCGCTCTCCCGGCCCGGCTTTTCCCGGTGCCGAGACGCCCCAAAAGCCGGGGGGGAGCCCCGGGGCGGCGGGGGGAGCCCGGCTCGGGCTGCAGCGTCTCCCCGGCTGCCCCGGGCCCATTGCCGGCTGCAGATAGCGCGGCTGCTCGGCGGTGGCAGCGCGGCGTGTGGGAGGGCAGACGCCAGGCTGTCTGCTCCCGCTCCTCTGGGCTGCTTATTAACTCCTCCTTGGGCTGCCATCAGCCCACAATTCCTGCTCCTGGCTCCAGCCCTTCCCGCGCCGCTCTATCTCCAGCCTAATTACAGCTCTTGGGATCTCCCTTTATCTCGGGGCATCTTCGGGCTCGGTTACCTGGCACACGCCTTCCCGGCCCCCCTCCTCGCCCGCCCATCCCTCCTTCCCTGCTTTCCCCTTTCATCCTCGCTGCTTTCATCAGCCCCTGATGGCGGATGAATCCGCATCCCGCGGGTCGCGGAGCATCCCGGCCCGGTGACCGCCGGTGACGTTCTCCCCGCGTGTCCCGGCGTGTCGCGTGTGCCACCACCTCCGAGCCGAGCCCCGAGCCCCGCCGCTGGCTCCGAGCGCGGCCGTGATTTATTTTTGTAACTCAGCGCGGGTTGAGTCGATGTGTTTGTCTTGGCAGCTCCAAACCCAAACTCCGCTCCAACAGCCCCGTCCTGTCCCCGCCAGCCCCGCTGACACCCACCGGGTGGCACCCGAGCCGGCCGTGCCCTGTGCCCGCATCTGCCCCGCAACGCTCCCAAAGCAGCCCCGGGGCCGGCCGGGGGCTCTGCACAGCCCGAGGGCGGGGCCGGAGCTTTATCTCCGCTCCCGAAGGGGTTTGGAGCAGGTGGCTCTTCCCTGTCCCCGTCCCTGTCCGTGTCCCCATCCCTGTCCCCATCCCTGTCCCTGTCCCCGTCCCCATCCCTGTCCCTGTCCCTGTCCCTGTCCCCGTCCCCATCCCTGTCCCCATCCCTGTCCCCATCCCTGTCCCCATCCCTGTCCCCATCTCTGTCCCTGTCCCTGTCCCTGTCCCCATCCCTGTCCCTGTCCCTGTCCCTGTCCCCATCCCTGTCCCTGTTCCTGTCCCCATCTCTGTCCCCATCTCTGTCCCCATCCCTGTCCCCGTCCCTGTCCCCGTCCCTGTCCCTGGATGGGATAATGGGGTGGGATGGGATGGGATAAAGGGATGGGATAAAGGGATGCGATGGGATAAAGGGATGGGATAAAGGGATGGGATAAAGGGGTGGGATAAAGGGATGGGATAAAGGGATGGGATAAAGGGATGGGATGGGGCGGGCTCCCATCCCTCCTTCCACCCCTGATGGAGCAGAGCTGTGCCCCTTTACCCCAGCAGGGAATTGAACCCTGCGTGTCCCCCCTGCTCCTGCCGGAGGACAAATCTTGTCCCCAAACCCCCCTGGGGACACCGTCCTGCAGCAGCTGGCACAGAGGCCTCCTCCCTGCTTTAGGATGGACATTTTGGGGTACTTTTATTAATTACGGGTATTTCTCCCACCCAGCTCTCAGGAGAGGGGTGGGGAAGCACCAGGGGCTCGAAGGGGGGCTGTGTCCCCCCGGATGCAGCTCTGGGACGTTCTGTGGAGGTGGAAGGGGGGGAAGCCGCCCCCAGCCCCAGCACCCCCTCTGTGCCCCCAGCGCCCCGTGAGGAGCCGGGCGGGAGCTGATCCCGGCAAGCCGACACCCGTCCCGCAGCCGGTGGGGCTGAGTCACCGGGGAAAGTGCGGAACGGGATAAAAGCAGATCAGCGGAGCTTTCCTCTCCTCCGCTCCGAGCCCTCGGTGCGGGCCGGGCCGGCTCCCCGGGCACGCGGCGCGGGCAGGGCTGCGAACATCTGGAATTGTCCTCCGGCAGCCGCTGCTCCGCCCCGCTCCGGCCTGGCCGGGCTTGGGGACAGCCCCTGGCGGTGCCCGGAGCTCCGTGGCCCCGCTGGAGGCGCCTTGTCCCCGAGGGCCATCCCGGGGACGCGGGGACAGCACCGGAGACAGCACGAGGGCGCTGGGATGTCCCCATGTGCGGCTGGGGGGACACAGAGGGCAGAGCGGAGCTGAGCCGGGCTGTCCCCGAGCGGGGCAGGACGCGGTCCCCGCGTGTCCCGGGCGGCTCATTCTGATCGGAGCTGGCCCGGCACGGGCGGCTCAGAGCCCCGGTGGCCGCCTGGAAACGCGGCTGGCACCGACCTGGGGACGGAGGGGACCGGGGGACCGTCCCTGCCCCATCCCCGGCCTCTGGCAGCGGGGGCGACACGGGGACAGCGCTCCCGTCCCACCGTGTCACCGCGGTGTCCCCAAGGCCAGCGCAGCCTCGCAGCCCCCGCCACCGGCACGCCGGCTGTCCCCAAAGGCGGGGACGGCAGCTCCGGGGCCCGCCCCGGCGGTTTTGTCCCCGGTGTGCCCCGGCTGCCCGCCCCGGCGGTTTTGTCCCCGGTGTGCCCCGGCTGCCCGCCCCGGCCCGAGGCCCCTCCGGGGTCACGGAGGGCGCGGCCGGGCAGGTTGTCACCCGCCGGGAACGGGGCCCCGCGGGGACCGGGGCGCTGCCGGTGCCGCGAAGGGGCCCCGGGGCCGCCGGGGGAGGCTCGGGAGGTGCCAGCCCCCCTGGCACCCCGGCAGCGACCCCCGGGCCCTCCCGGCGCTGCTCCGTGTCCCCCGGGGGTCCCTAAGAAGGGGACCCCAATCCCGCAGGAGGGTCACCCCCCCCCAGATCCCGCAGGAAGGTCACCCCCACTCGGGGGACACCGCCAGGACACGGATTTGGGGGGGGGGGGGTTCCGGGTGTCCCCCAGCCCCGGGGAGGGGTCACGGTGGCTCGGGGGGGGATGGCCTCGAAGGGGTCCCACAGTCGGGGGGGGGGGTGGGCACGGGGTTCAGGGGGTGCCCCGGGACGTGACGTCACTGCGGGGGCGGGGCGGGGCGGGGCGTTCGGGGCATCCCCGGGGCCGCGGTGCCGGAGCCGTCGGGGGGCGGCGGGGGCCCGGCTCGGCTCGGCTCGGCTCGGCTCTGCCCTGCCCTGCCCTGCCGCGGGGGCTGCGGGCACTGCCCGGCCCGGCCCGGCCCGACCATGACCATGAGCTCGGTGGCCGAGACCCTGCTGGGCTCCGACCCCTCCAAAGCCGCGTTCCTGGAGCTCGGGCCCCCCCAGCACTACCCCCTGCACGGCCACCCCCAGCACGACCCCCCGCCCTTCTCCTCCTACGGCCGGCCCGGACACTTCCCGTACCCCGGCGGGGTCCCCCCACCGCCCCACGGGGGTCCCTACCTGCCCTACCCGCCCCCCGGCGCCCCGCACGCCCCCGCCCCCGGGGCCGGGCTGCAGGACACAGGTAAGGGGGGCGCGGGGGTCGCGCACCGGCCCCGGGCACCCCCCGGGCCGGGAGAGCCGGGCCGGAGCCGTCGGAAGCGCTCCGGGCAGCGGCGGGGCTGGACCGGGCTGGGCCCGGTGCGGGGTCCTGGGGGGCAGCCGGGGGGGCTGGGGGGGTGTCCCCCCGCTCCCAGAGCGCCACGACCCGCAGGGGACACTTGGGTGGCTTCGAGGAGCCGCGGGCATGGGGAGCAGCAGCGCCTACAGGCTGGCACCCTCCCGCCTGAGACCCCCATGCCCCCCATACCCCCCATGCCCCCCATGCCCCCCATCCCCCCGATCCTGTCCTCTGAGCCCCTCACTGCCCACACGGCCCAGCTGTGCCCCCCGGGCCGGCCGGGCTGTCCCCACACCCCCGCCCCTGCTCCATCCCTGCTCCCCGCTGGGTGCCCCAAAAAACGAGGCAGGAAGCGCGATCCGGGCCTGGAGAGAACCGAACCGGCCTGGAGAGAACCGAGCCGGCCCCGGGGCTGCCCCCGGGGGTCCCCGGCCCTGGCTGTCCTCCCTGGGTGACAGACATGACAGACACCCGGCGCTGCTGCTGGGCCAGGGACCCCCGGCGCACCCCGCTGGCTCCCCGGGACTGGGGGGTCCATCCTGGTGCTCCTCCATCCCCGGGACCCCCACCGGAGCCCCGGCCGGGCCCAGGCCGAGCCCGGGGTCCCACGGGCCGCTGGACGGTGACAGCGGCTGGATGGGCCCATCCCTCCTTCCTCCTCCTCCGCTTTTTGCTTTCCCCGAGGTTTAAACAGCAGCGAAGAGCAGCCCCCAGCACTTATCCTCCCTCCCTTCCACAGACACCCCCCGGGAGCCGCGGGGATGATTTGGGGTGATTTAGGGGTGGTTTGGGGTGATTTAGGGGTGGTTTGGGGTGGGTTTTGAGTGGTTTGGGGTGGTTTGGGGTGTTTTTTGGGTGGTTTGGGGTGTTTTTTTAACCCCTCCGCGTCCCTGCCGGGCCGTGGCTCCTCTCCCCGCTCCAGAGGCCGGGAAGCCGCCGGCCGTGTCCGAGGGGGAGCTGCGGCTGGTCGGACGGGGGAAGAAGCTGCGGAAGCCGCGCACCATCTACTCCAGCCTGCAGCTGCAGGCGCTGAACCAGCGCTTCCAGCAGACGCGGTACCTGGCGCTGCCCGAGCGCGCCGAGCTGGCGGCACAGCTGGGGCTCACCCAGACCCAGGTACGGACCGAGCCGGTCCGGCCCGGGACACCGCGGGGCCACCGGCACGGCTGGAAGCGAGCCGAGCCGAGCCGTGCCGCGGCGGGGCAGCTGGGGCTCACCCAGACCCAGGTACGGCCCGGCCCGGCCCGGGACACCGGGATGGCTCCGGCCGGGCTGGAAGCGAGCCGAGCCGTGCCGTGCCGCGGCGGGGCAGTTGGGGCTCACCCAGATCCAGGTACGGCCCGGCCCGGCCCGGGACACCGCGGGGCCACCGGGACCGGCCGGGCTGGAAGCGAGCCGAGCCGAGCCGTGCCGCGGCGGGGCAGCTGGCGCCGGTGGGCCCGCGGGGCGCGGGTTTGGGGCGCCCCTGGCCGCACCTCCCAGCGCAGCGGGACTTTCCCAGCCCCGGAGCCTGGCTGGCGGCCCGGCCCGGCCCGGCGCTGGGCGGCCCCGGGCCGCGGGACGGGCCGAGTGGCTTTTTGAAGGCGATGGGGAGAGACAGGCAGGCGGCAGCGGTGCAGCCCCGGAGCCGGGGGCGAAGCGAGCTCATAAAGCCGGGGAAGAGGAGACAAGTGGGAACCTGCCGGCAGCGCGGGGGGAGCGCGGGGAGGAACGAGCCGGGCCCGGCCCAGCCCGGGACAGGCACCGGCGGGGCTGGCACGGCCGGGGAGACCCGGGGCCGCTCCCGGTGCCTCTCCCCACCATCTCCCCCCGCCGCAGAGGGGAGTCCCCGGTGCCCTGCGAAGGGTCGGGCTCCCGGCCCGCTTCGTGCCCAGGATACCGCAGGAATGGGGTCAAGGGGGGCCCGGGGGTCTGTCACGGTTAATTTGGGGGTTTGGGGGTGCTGGCCTCTCCCTCCCCCCTCACCCCCTCTGTCCGCCCGCAGGTGAAGATCTGGTTCCAGAACAAGCGCTCCAAGTACAAGAAGATCCTGAAGCAGGGCCCGGGTGCCCCCGATGGGGAGCAGCCCCCGCACAGCGTCCCCGCCCTGTCCCCCTGCTCCCCCGGCCTCCCCCCGCTCTGGGACCTCCCCGGGCCGGGCAAGGGGTCCCCGCTGGCCCCCGGGGGCTTCATCAACACCTTCGGGGCCTGGTACCAGCCGCACCCGCAGGACGCCGTCCCCAGGGCCCCCCTGATGTGACACTGCCGCCGCTCCAGCACCGCCGGACCCGGAGGGACAGCGGGGGACACTGGGGGACACCGAGGGACACTGGGGGGGACGCTCTGCCGCTGCCCCCCAAGGGACTGGGAGCCCAGCGAAGCCCTGGGGGAACCCAGCGAGTGGAGGAGGAGGAAGAAGAGGAGGAAGAAGGTGACAAGGATGGCAGGAGCCCGGGGATGTCCTGCTCTGTCACGCTCCGCAGCGCCCCGTGCCCTGTGCGCCATCCCAGTGGGACAGGACTCGGCCCCGGGTCCCCCCAATCATGGACAGGGGGCGGGGGGACCCCAGGAGGGGCTGGGGAGTCCCCGGTCCCCCGGCCCGGCTTTATTTATAAATTCTGTCGGTTATTCATTGTACCCCCGTTTATAAACAGGCTGAACATCGACGGGCTCTGCTCCTCCGCGCTCCCCGCGGCTTTGGGGTGCCCCTGGTTTGGGGGAGACTCTTCCATCCAGAACCTCCCAATCCCTGAGGAAACAGCCCAGAGGGGCTGGGGGTGCAGGGTCAGGGGCTGGGGCTGCGGCCCCCCAACATCTGCCCGAAACGCAGATGGAGTGGGGATCGGAGCCCGTTTGGGGCTGGTGGCTCTGGGGACCCCCATGTCCCCATTCCCGTCCACCCTGGCAGGCCCAGTCCCTCAGCTGAGGGCTTTGGGGTGCTGATCCCATGGGACGGGTGTCCCCAGCTGTCCCCAGCTGTCCCCAGCTGTCCCCACGGGCACTCGGAGCTGGGCCTGACCGGGATCCATGGCCAGGCCCGTGGTGGGTGGGTGATGCTCCCAGCGGGATTTCCTCGGAGGATGGAGCCCACCCTCCCACGGAGGATTTAGGGAAGGGGGTGGGTTTGGGCCGCGGTGTCCCCTCCCTGTCCCCAGCAGGACATCCCCGGTGGCGGGCACAGACCCCGCTCAGGGGCGGTGCTGCCCCACCCGCGGGGAGCTCCGGGCCGGCCGGCGGGGCCGTGACTCCGGCGGGGCTCCGGTGCACCGAGGGCGGGGCCGGGGCCGGGGCTGCCGGGCCGGGCCGTGGGCGGGCGCTGCCCCCGCTGCCGGGGCTGGCACCGGGTGACGCAAGGGTGCAGGTGTCGCAACGGGGCAGGAGCCGAGAGCGGGCTGGGAGGGCTCTGCTGGGCCGGGGGGACAGCGGGGGACGGGGCACTACCACCCCCGGCACTGCCACCCCTGGCACTGCCACACCCGGCACTGTGACACCAGGCACTGCCACACCCGGCACTGTGACACCAGGCACTGCCATCCCTGGCACTGTCACACTTCTCACTGCCACCCCTGGCACTGCCACCCCCGGTACTGTCACACTTCTCACTGTCACACTCGTCATTGTCACCCCCGGCACTGCCAGCCCCGCTCTGGGACCCACAAAATCCATTCCCATTCCCGTTCCCATTCCCATTCCCATTCCCATTCCCATTCCCATTCCCGTTCCCATTCCCATTCCCATTCCCATTCCCATTCCCATTCCCAATTCCCCATTCCCATTCCCATTCCCATTCCCATTCCCATCACCATTCCCATTCCCGAGGTTTTCCCGGACCCCCATTCCCGAGGTTTTCCCGGACCCCCATTCCCGAGGTTTTTCCCGGGCAGCGCCGTGGGCAGCGCGCACCCGGGATTTCGGGATTTACATAATCCCTGGATATATAACCCGCCGCCTTCCTGGGCTTTTTTTTCTCCTCCTCTAAATGAAAAAAATAAATTTAAAAAAATTAAAAAACCCCAAAAAACTGAAACGAAACCTCCCAGCGGGAGCTCCCGGCTCCGGTTCCTCCTCCCCCCGCGGGGTTGGGAACGGGGATTTGGGGCTGCAGCTTGTGGGGGGTTTGGGGGGAGCTGGGAGGGGAAGCCCCGCGTGGGTTTGGGGACACGTCTGGGGACACGTCTGGGGACACGTCTGGGGACACTGAGAGCCGGGAGCGCCCCGAGCTGTGGCGCTGGAGCCTCCCCAGGGAACGGGGCCCAGCGGGATTTGGGGTCCCCGCGGCCAGCGGGGGTGATGGGGACAGCGTGGGGACAGCGTGGGGACAGTGTGGGGACAGTGTGGGGACAGCGTGTCCCACCCGTGACACGTCCAGGGGCACACCGGGGACAGCAGGACAGGGCCACCACCGCCCCGCACACCCCCCTGGGGCTCTTGGGGTCACTGGGGCGCCCCAACCCCAAATCCCACGGACCCACGCATCCCCCCCGCTCCCCGCAGGGAACGTGGGGCTCCCGTGGGGGTTTTGGGGTTTTGGGAGGGCTCGTCCTGTCCCCACCTCCTTGTCCCCAAAAGGGACCTCGAGGCAGCGCAGCCGCCCCCCCAGTCTGGCAGCTCACTGGTCCCAGTAGGAGCAGCGGGATGGGAGCGCCAGAATCCCGCAGCTGTTTGGGGAATGCTCTGAAAATCCTAAAAAAATTCCTTTTCCTGCCCCAAATTCCCTCTCAGCAGGATGAAGTGGGGTTTGGGGTCAGGCGACATCACCCGGTGCCACCCCGTGCCCAGTTGTCCTCCAAAAATGGGGTTTAAATCCACATTTCCCAAGGTGGGAAAACCCCAAACCCCCAAACCCTTCTCCCTAAAACCCTCCAGAAATCGGGGGAAACGGTGTTCGGAGCTTTAAATTCAGAACTTTTATTAATGAACATTTCCAGCCCGGCTTTGGATCCCTTGGGAAGGAGCAAAGGACACTCAGGGACACCCGAGGGGGGCTCCCATCAGCCGGGGGGATTTTCCTTAGGAAAAAAGAAAAATTATAGACAAAAAAAATCAAACAAACAAACAAAAAAAACCAGACCGAAACCAGTTTGGTTTGGAACAACTTTATACAAACGAACCTTATGTACACTCCCTTTTTTCCCCCCAAAACACCCCTATTTATAGAAGGCAACATAAATAAATCCCCGGGACTGTACAACACTATGAACACTCCTTAAAACGGCACTTTCTGCTTAAAAAAATAGCATTATTCTCTTAAAAAATAGGAAAGAGCTCGGTTATTTTTTTTTCCTTTAAAATAAGTCGTCGATTTCCTTAAAAAAGAGGCATTTTCGCCGTTCCTTTACCCACAGCTGGAGGCACAGCCAGAAAACGGAGATGAGCACGAGTTTTTCTCTTCAAACAATAACTTAAAACCATTCCTGAACTGCTTAAATATTAAAATATTTCCCTCCCCACAACCCCCCCACCCCCCACCCGATTTTTTTATTTATTTTTAAATCACCACTTTCTGGTCTGAGCATCGTCCCGGGCGATTCCGGCTGGGGTGGGGGTCCCGCTTTGCTCCTTTGGGGGTCCGTGAGCCCCAAAACCGCTCCCGGGTTCGGAGCCAGGGCCGAGCGCCTCCCCTGGGCTGGGGACAGGCACGTCCCTGTCGCGACAGCGGCGACACGGCTGCTGCAGCCCGGCGGGGTCCGGGGTCCCGCAGCGGGGTCACCCCACAGGCAAAGCTCCGGCGGGGTTGGGGTGAAAATCTTCGGGGGCCGAATGTGCCGGGGCCGGGGCGGGGGTCGCGATGGAAAAGGTCCGAAATGGAAAAGTCCGGCAGGATTTTCCGGATTTTGCAGCTTTTCCTGCGCGGGGAGCGGAGGGGCTGAAGCCTTTGCAGTCTCTGTTCCTGAGATCAGCGGGCGAGGAGCGAGAGTTTAGGGGTGCGCGGGGTGCGGGTCCTTTCCTTTGCTTTGCTGATGCTGTTGTTGTCGTTTTGGGGGTTTTTTCTCTTAGGAAAATTCAGGAGACAAAACCAAACCGGGGTTGGGGTAGGGGGGGTGGACAAAAGGAGGCCGAGGAGCTGCGCAGCGTCTCTGAGCCCTCCGTGCCCGCCGTGCCCGCCGTGCCCATCAGTACGCGGCGCCCGTGCCCGCGGGCCCGGGGGACGGGTGGTGCATCGGGGGGGCCGCCTGCGCCTGCGGGGGTCCGTGGGGGCCGCTGAGGCTCTGGGGGTGGTACCAGGGGCTGTGCTCCTCCAGGAAGGCCGGCGAGGGGCTGTAGGGCAGCGGCGGCGGCAGAGGGGTGCGGGCGCTGCCGCCGCCGGGACTGTCCCACACCGGAGAGGGCGGAGAGTTGCAGGCCATGGAGTCGCTGTTGTTGGGGCTGTGCTCCAGAGGCACCTCGCCGTTCTTGTAGAGCTTCTTGAACTTGGAGCGCCGGTTCTGGAACCAGATCTTCACCTGCGGGGGGCGGGGAAGAGGGTCAGAGAGGCGGGAGGGGAGAGGGAGGGTGGGATGGGTGCGGGGAAAAGGGGCAGGGGGCCGGGAGGGTGGGATGGGTGCAGGGAAGAGGGGCAGGGGGTCGGGAAGGGACAGGGAGGATGGGATGGGTGCAGGGAGATCGGGCAGGGGGCTGGGAGGGTGGGATGGGTGCAGGGAAGAGGGACAGGGGACATGGAGTGTCCCTCCCTCCTTGGCATGGGAACAGGGGGAATGGGGCAGAAGGAAGGGGACAGGGGATGGGGTGGTTTGGACCGCAGGGACACCGGACACGGGGGTCACGGGCAGCCCTGAAACACGGGAAGGGACATTGGGGTCACAGGGGACATCCCTGGGCACTGGAACCAAACTGGGACAGGGGGTCACAGGGACCCCAGAGACACAGGAAGGGACAGGGGGGTCACAGGGACCCCAGAGACACAGGAAGGGACAGGGGGGTCACAGGGACCCCAGAGACACTCTGGCACGTAGGAAGGGACAAGGGACACAGGTGACACACGAGGCACCACGGGAAGGGACATCATGGGGACCCCACACGGTGCATGGCAGGAAACTCCTCAGGACAGGGGTGTCGTAGGACACATGGGCAGTGACCCTTGGGGTGAGTGTCACGGAAAACATGGACACACCACGGACACAGCATGGACACACCATGGGCACCCCAGGGACACTCCATGGACACCCCAGGGACACTCCAGGGAAATGGACACTCCATGGACACTCCATGGACACATCATGGACACACCACAGACACTCCACAGACACTCAGGGACCTGGATATTCCATGGACACACCATGGACACTCCAGGGACACACCATGGACACTCCACGGACACTCCACGGACACCCCATGGACACCCCAGGGACACTCCATGGACACTCCACGGACACTCCAGGGAAATGGACACCCCATGGACACCCCAGGGACACTCCAGGGACACCCCAGGGACACTCCAGGGACACGGCCATTCCACAACCAGGGACACCCCGTGCTCTGGGGCCAGCACCCACGTGCCAGCGGCTGTCACAGGGACCCCTGTGGGGACACGGGCGTCACGAGGAGCCCGTCACGCCACGGGCCGGGCGTCGGGAGCGTCCCCGCGCTGGGCGAGGCGGCGCTGGACGCCCTGGGCG